AGACAGGCTATAGAGACAGCATCACATAAAGGACCGTGTGCAGCGGAGGGCGGCAGAGACACCACGAGAGAACATATGAGAGTGCTGGAGAGCCCAGAGAGAGTAAACTTTTTGCGGGGGCTGGGAGTCCCCCAGGCACCCCTGCCTGCCCTCCACCTGGTTGCTGCACAAAGATCATTAAAAGCCTGAAAAAGCCACTGAGGGCTCAGGACTCTCCTCTGCCCCCTCTACCCTGCGCCTGCATGCACTACGGTTCCCTAAACAAGTCACTTAACTTCTCTCAAGTCCACTTTTCTAGCTTCTAATTATACGGATTAAATTGAAGAGATTTTGAACGTACTGTAGGAAGATTCTTGCAAATCATAAGCACCATGCACTAGGCAAATAATCATCTCCCTGAGGTTAAGGATCATAACATACACAATTGTCCAACTAAAGTACCTTATCTATAGTAGTAATGATAACTGAACATTATTAAACATTTGCTATGTGTCAGGAATTGAGTTATTTATTATAAATAATAATAGTATTATTATTATTCCCATTCTATTAAACATATGCGGTTCAGAGAGGTAAGTGTAGGTACTGAAATTCCAGCCTGAGAAGTTCATGAAGGTTCACCACATGATCTAAAGCATGTTTATATATAATATATATATATATATATGTTATACACAGCATGATAAAAATTATAGCACATTTCCAGCAAACCTTCACTTTGTTTCTGATTCCGGGATCTCCCAGCCAAACACCTGCTCATAAAATACTTCCTGAACTTCCTGATGAGCTGCCTGTTCATTCACTGGTCTCTGAATGCCACTTCACCAGCCCAAGTCACTGACACATGTCTGGCTTAGCATTGTTTATAGACCTCAGGGGCTATTAGCAATTTGTGTTAAAACACAAGTGATTGTCTTCAATAGACTGCTAGATTGGCTTGCTCCACTCTCATTTTACCCCTTCTTTGATCTCTCTTAATGTATGGTCAATTAGGTTTAGATATCAAAGAAGAACTGTTAAGTTGTGAGATACTACAAGCCTGGAACATGACCATTATGTTTAGCTGATTGAGTATTGTTGCCCTGAGGTTCAGTCTATCCAGAACTTCAGAATGTCATTTTATTTGGAAATAGAGTCTTCGCAGATGCGATTATTTAAGAAAAAGTCACCCTGAATTTACAGTAGGCAGGAAATCCAATGACTCGAGTTCTTTTAAGAGAAAGGAGAGGGCAATTTGAACATAGAGACACTCAGACACAGATGAGATAGAGGAAAGAACGCCTATGAGGCCAGAGGCAGAGAGTGGTGGTGTGCGTTTTTCACCAAGAAACACCAAGGATGGCCAGGAGCAGCAGAAGGTAGAAAATCAAGGATGAATTCCTTCCAAGAGCTTCGGGAGGGAGGGTGGCCTTGCCACCATGGATTTCAGGTTTCTGGCCTTTGGAACTATGAAAGAATAAACTTTTGTCTCTTTAAGCAGCCCAGTTTGTGGTAATTTGTTACAGAGGCCCCAGGGAACTAACAGCCCATTCCTACTGCTTGTTCTGTGAAGAATTAGAATAGGTATTTCAATGACTTTAGAAGTCACTGAAGAATCAGAGATTCTAAACATAGAACTAAATTAAGAATTCCGTAAATCACACTCTCTATGTGGGGAAAAAATTCTGTTAATCACACTTCACAAAGAGAGAACAGCAGCCATTACTGGCAGCATTTATTTTCACTTTTGATGGTCCAGTAATGAGAGCAAAATCTACTTACAGTTGAGAGACTTTTTCCCTCGTGTAACACACTTCCACATAGTTATAAAACAGCATGCTCTTAAAAGACAAGTTCCACAAAAATAAACTTAAAGGAAATATTTTAGAAAAAATGATTTCCAAAAATATAATAAAATACTGTCATATTTCTGCCATCAAATAACCATATCAAGAGGTATTTTCATTACCCTAAGTTATTTCTGCTATATCTAGCCCACTTGTAAGCCTATGTCATAGTAAAGTTGACTTAAAATATTCATTAACCCATAATTTTCTACAACCCAAATAACCAGGGACCATCAAAGATGATTTTTTTTTAAGTATATTTAACTGGGTCCATTTTGGCATATTTGAATATTTTGTCCAGAATTACTACCCAAATGAAATACAGTAGAGACCCCAAATTTTAACTTACTAGGGAAAATAACCTGTAAAAATTTTATGCTTTACAATCAAAAGTAGTGCTCCCAGTGTGGTGCCTGCTACCCATGAGCAGCTGTGAAGCGAAAAAATCAAGGTGTTGATTAAAAGGGCTTTTTTTTTTTTTTTCATATTATTCACCCTTAAAGGTTTTTTAATTGGAACACGGCCATCATTAACAGAACCTGTTCACCAGAATGCTTTGCTCCCAGTGATGAAAGGAGCCACCCAACTTGTGATTCTTCATGCCAAGCTGTTGCTTGCCACTGACACCTCTCCACAGCGTCCTGCTTTGTCCCACGTCAGCTTTAATGAAACAAAAAACATGGTAACTCCATTTATGGGCTTCTGACATCCTGTGGCTTCAAAAGAAATTTGTTTCTTCAGAGGACACATTGAAAAATTTGAAGTGGGTCTTCTCAGGTGAAAAGTTCTCCCTGTACATAAGCCTCTGTCCCCAGGTAACCCCCACTCACTCAACCTGCTTTCCACTTCCCCATATCTCTGGAAGGTAGAATTTTTCTCTAGTGTCCTTCCCTGAAAATTTTAGAACCACTTTAACTCATTGTAGGGTAAATGGAAGTTACCAGGTTGTTTTTTGTTTTGTTTTGTTTTTATATATAGAGGCATGTTTTATTTATGTATTTATTTGTTTGTTTGTTTGGTTTATACATGCACTGGGTACAGTCAGAAGCGCGGGAGGGTGAGAGAATTCACCAGAGCCAGGGCGGGGAGCAGAGCAGGCAGAGGGACCGAAGTACACTGCTGAGGGGGGCAGCGGGCGGCAGGAGAGGTCTGCGCGCCATGTGGGACCCTCCTCTGGTGGCCGGGGAGCAGCCGGGGATTGAACCGGCGCCGCAGAGGCCGCGGGCAGCTTCGCAACCCAGTGCTCAACCGCTGCGCCACCGGGGAGGCCCGGAAGTTACCAGGTTTTTCCCACCCTCCCACCATTAGTGTCAAAGATCGACACCTGTGGTCTTACACGCGTGCCTGACGGGGGACACCTGGAGTGTGGGGTGGGTGTGCATGAGTGGGCCCACCTGAGCCAAGAGACTAAGCATATAAAGGCAGCATCACAGAGGATGTAGCATGGAGGTAGAGGGCCATGAGGCAGAGTGCCAGTGGAGAGCTTGAGAGAGGAGCTAAGAGAGGAAAGAGCATATGGGGTTTCACTGAGGGGCCCAAGTTGCTGTCTCCCGGCAGGCTTGTTTCCCTTAACCTGTAGGGATGATGCCAAGGGCGCCAAGGTTCTCTTTCAAGCTGCCTGAACAGATGATGAACCTATCCGGCCTGGAATGGTTACAGAACACTCATCCTTCTGGATATTTCCTGCATCTAATTCATCATTAGATCCTGTGGTGTCTAACTGAAGCTGTCTCCAGTCCTGTCTCTGCGCCAACACTCAGGCCACCCTCCTGTCACCTGAGATTTCTTGATGACACACTTGGGCATAGACTCCTCCCCTCTAGAATCCCTCCCTCTGGCTCAATCTGGGTAAATGTGCCCAAAACATTTATTTTTATCTTTTAACTTTATTTTTTTTTAGAAATTGATATAACATCACACTATACCATTATATAACTTTCATTCTCCTGCTTAAAGATTCGTTATGGTTCTCAACTTTCCACCAGATAAAAACGCTAATCCCAGCCTGGGCTTTCAAACCCTCTATCCTGTCACTCACTGTATCTATCCACCTTTCCTTTGCTTTTAAACTCCAGTACAGTTGCTGTTCCAGACAGAGCAGTGTTCACACTTCTTTCTCACAACCAGGCCTCCAGTCTCCCCTACAGGGACACTCAGCCTGTCCCCAATTCTTCCTTGATTTTAAGCGTAGAATGTCCTCCCTCTTCCCTCACCATTAAAGCTCTACCAATCCCCAAAGATTCTGCTTAGTCTTGCTACTTTAAAGAACCTTCTCACACAGTACGTCCTCACTTAACATTGTCAATAGGTTTGTGAAAATTGCAACTTGAAGCAAAGTGGATGTATAAAGAAAAGGATTTTTACCAAAGCTAACTGAGCATTTCGTGCTAAATGTCTTATTGTCATGCATTTGTATGATTACTTTGTTTTACAAATTTTTGTATTTATTCATTCACTCACTCATTTTCCAACTCACTTATTCCAGGTTCCAGGGTAGTGGGTGGCTTGAGCTGTCTGCACAGCTCAGGGCACAAAGGGGGATGCAACCTTGGACACAGTGTCATCTCAGGGTGCATCACAGACACACCTGCACTCACTCCTTTCCCTATGTTCTTCATCTTTGTTAAGAGTTTCATCAGAACACTTGGAAACATTTTTACACTATTTCCTATACTTACCTCCAAGTCCAATGAGGACCCACATCTTAACCAAACTGTCCCCACCCCATCCTGAAAACCACTGCTCAGTTCTGTTCATTCTTGCCTGTCCTTAGTCTATTGAAAAAAAAAAAACCTCATGAGTCCTTCCTTACAACCTCTTCTGATATTCCCAATACATCATATCTAAATTTATTTCTATGTTGCCAGAACTGGCTGTTAAAAGCATGACCATGTCACACCTGTTCTGAAAAAATCAACTCTGGTCTTTGATACGTTTTTAAATGTTAGCCTGTTGGGTTTTCCCAAGTTAAATCATTGTCCACACAGGAAGGCTAGTTGAGAAGACCAGGGTATAACTCTTGCCCATATGATATTTGAGATGGTTCCTACTTGCTTCTATTGTTCAATGTACCAGGTGCTTAGCTGTGAAACTGCTTCTTCCTCTTTCCAGAAGCTCAAAAAGGAGTCTCTTCAGGTGAGCAGCTCCACACACACTTCACTGCTTGCTGTTACTATTTTCTTTCTCACACAACCATGAACTTCAGTGAATGCTCCTAAAGATGTCTCCATGATTTCTATAGAATAGAAGCATTAATGGTATCACTATTGTAAATGGCTGTTTAAATGTCCAGGCTCTCTACCTTTAATATTACTATCAGAATAAGGATATCAAGAACTCACCTAATTGAAGACAGTCCTGGATTTTCAAGATTATTTTAGAGGATTTAACAATTGTTACTTTGCATTTAACATGTGCAAACAAATCCATGGAGCCAATTAAGCTGCTTCCAGTTTATCTGACAGCACATGAAGGAGCTTACCAGCAGTGCCAGCCTGGGCAGCAAGCAAGTCTTGACACATGGCTCTCTCCTCCCACCCAGACTGGGAGATTTAAGTGTATTTTTCAAGCTGTGTTTCAGGTTTATAAAGGCTCTTCTTCTACTCTTCCTTCTAATATACAAAGTGTAGGGTGAGGAAAAATATCAGGCTTTTCTGCCCTCCCGCCATTAGGATAGTTGACAGAACCCTGTGCTCCTGAATGCATGCCTGATGGCAGGCACCTGGAATAGGGTGTGGGCATAGGTAGATGGGATTCACTGGGCTAAGACTGTGCTTTTTAAGGGCGGTGTCACGGAGACACCAGTAGAAGCCGAGCAGAAGCCGAGAGAGAAGCAAGAGAAGCAGAAACCAAGAGAAGGCCGGAGAGCCCAGGGTGAAGACCTGCTGGGGGCTGGAGGCTTGCCAGCCTACCGGCCCCCCAGCACCCCTGCCTGCCGTGTACCTAGTAATCCCAATAAAAACCTGCAAAACCACTGAGGACTCTGAGTCCTCCTTTACCCGGTCTGCTGGGTCAGAAAACCTGCTCAGTGGCCATCCCTGCCTCCTATAATTGGCGTAAGTTGACAAGATGATCCATGCAGACGGGTATAGAGAGCCCTCCAAAGACCTGGAGGGACTAAGGAGTAACAGACTGTGTTTGCCTGTGATGACGCTGGAGGCGCCATGGCGGCACAGAAGATGGACACAGTCCGGGAGCTGCAGAACGAGACTTCAGCTGGAGGAGGAGACGCACGAGAGGACCAGCCAATGACCCCTGAGGCAGCAAGAATCGTTGGGAAGACAGGGCCACGATTCGGAGCTCGCCGGTGCTGATAGCAGGGAGAGGCCTAATGGACTTGGACTGACAATCCCGCCAGAAGGCGGAGGACCTTGGCAGGTTATGTTTTTTTGAGAATCTGGGGTGGCCAGTGGGCCTTGATGGCCAAAAGCAGCCTGTGTATGGCTAGCAGCTAAGCAGAGGAAAAAAGCCAACTGAGAAGGCAAAAGCTGGTACTGATAAGTTTGGGAAGCCCTGAGTGGCTGTTAAGCACTAAGTAGGCTGAAGGACAGTGAGTCTTGTAAAATCACCTGTGGGTGATGCCCTGCTCGTTGTCGAGTGAGGGTGAGGAGCTGAGGAACCCGTCCTTGGGAGGATGGGTGAGGAACGTGGCTTGGGGTGGAGCCCAAGCTGAATTTAGAGTTTGTATCCAAGGATCCCTGACCCACATGCTTGTGCAATGGGTTGGCCTGAGTGCAGGGGTCTGCGAGTCGCATTAGTGGCTATGAAGGCCAAATGTTGGAGCCACTGCTGACAGAAACCCTGAGGGTTGGCGATTACCCCCAACAGAATAGAATCACCAATCCCAGAGTGACTGCCTCCTGGGGGTGGATGCTGTGTGTGGCTTGTAGCCGAGACTACAGCCAGGGAAGGCCAGGAAGCCTGACGGCTCCTGGTGTGTTACAGTAGATGCCGTGAGTGATCCTCTGTCCTTATATGACCAGTGCCTTTGGCAGCAGATGTGGTGGCTCATCTGCTGGTACCAATAATTGTCTTTTGCCACTAGGTTGGGGCCCTGCCTGGATTTATTTGTGTTCTGTTGTATTTTGTTATATTGTGATGTATTTGCTTTTGTGGACCATGGCTGCATTGTTTATGTTTGCTAAGAAAATTGTATATATGTAGATTATATGGCAGAAAACCCTGAGAGGGTAGACTGTAGGGTAAGGAAAAATATCAGGCTTTTCTGCCCTCCCACCATCAGGATAGATGACGGAATCCTGCGGTCCTGAATGCATGCCTGATGGCGGGCACCTGGAATAGGGTGTGGGCTTAGGTAGATGGGATTCACCTGGGCTAAGACTGCTTTTAAGGGCAGCATCACGAGGACACTAGTAGAAGCCGAGCAGAAGCCAAGAGAGAAGCAAGAGAAGGCCAGAGAGCCCAGAGTGAAGACCTGCTGGGGGCTGGGAGGCTTGCCAGCCTACCGGCCCCCCAGCACCCCTGCCTGCCGTGTACCTGGTAATCCCAATAAAAACCTGCAAAACCACTGAGGACTCTGATTCCTCCTTTACCCGGTTTGCTGGATCAGAAAACCTGCTCAGTGGCCATTCCTGCCCCTTACACTAAGGCAATGCTTAGTATAAGGCTGCAAGCCTTATTTTATGTTCATCTTTAAGACTTTCACACAACATAAATATAAAGAGCTTTATCTGAGTTTACTTGTACTGTCTCAATCAAGATGGAGCTAAAAAATGCTTTAAGAATCGCCCTCGTTTGTCACATGTTAGGGTGTGTGTGAGAGCTGGAAAGAAGCAGCCAAGGATTAAGTTTGTTTATCTTAAAATTTTGAGCTTGTAGTCAATCATTTCATTTTAATGTGCTACATCATGCTACAGTAATTGTTTTAACCCATTTCCTACTGGCCAAAGCAAACTGTCTGTGAAATCAATTTAATTTAGTCTTTTTGAAATTGCCCTCCAGAAAACAAGAAAAATAAAAACTTGATGCAATTATATGAATAATTATGTCAAAATCCAACTGTTGAAGTAAAACTTTGAGCGTGCATTTTTTTCCTCTATTGGCGCACACTTCTGAGCATATTTTTCATGCAAGGCACTCAGCTATATTATATTTTGCAGGTTATAAAACCACTTAGAATAATGGGTCAATCAATTCAAAAGCTAATTGAGTAATTAACTTACTGAATCACTTTTCCTCTAATTATATAACTGTTAATATTTGTTTGGAAGAGCCAAACATGTTATACTTACAATCATTCTCATAATCTGTTACTCCATGTTCCAGAAGTTTTGTGATACAAAATCACACAGTTATAATGTCCTTAAAATTAAAAAACCCTTCCCCCACCCAAAAGAAAAGCTTTAAGTTTAAGCCAATATGAACGAGTCAGAGCTCTCCCTCTCAATTCACACCAGGGCGTGGTGCCGCACAGCTGGGGAGCTGAGCTAATAAGTGTTGAAAAATGAAAAATGCTGCTTTATAGCATCACATAAACTGGCAAAAAAGAATACTTTTACCTCCACCCCGTTTTTGACAAACCAATGCCAAAATGCAGCCGCTGCAAGAATGAGACTTTATGGTATCAGACCCAGGGGGTGAACAGACTGTCTTGTGGGAGTTTCTTTTTACTGAATACTATAGGTAATAAGAAGTGGCATAACATTTATAAAATCAAATCACTTTTTTGTTCCTTTTTGAACCTCAAAGGGGTCATTTCTAGAAAAACTGTTGGAAACACTACTTAATGACCTATTTATCCAGTAGTGAAACAGGATTATCCCTTTTACAAGGAGACTGAATTTTCAATAACATAAATACTGTAATGTGAATACACAAATCGAGTACTTTGAGGAACATCGTGTTCAACAAATATTTATTGAATAACATAAGAGTTCAAAGAGTGATGCTAAGGGCTCTTGAGTACTTTACATTAAATAATATAATCAGGACCCAGCTGTTTTTCTTGGTCTGGTTTGTTTCCTAGCTGATGTTCACTCATTTACTCACTGTCATTCATTCAACACATACTCAGCAGTCAAGAAGACCATATCCACTGCAAGTTGACCAAGTCCAAGTCACACTGACCTACTAAATCATGAGCACTGTGCTACCAGAGCATAATATCCCAACTTTATTATTAAAAGAAATCTCTTTCTTTAGAAGTTAGACATCAATTGAATGAATGCAGAACAATGGGAACAAGAGAAACAAGAGGGTACATTGTCAGGGTCCACTCCTTCCCATAGGGAAACATAATGAATTTCAATAAAAAGGAAAGGGAACAGAAACCTCAATGCCCTGTCATCATAAGACTTCTAGGTGTTGTTAGATTCAAGTGGCAGAGAATTTCTGATTACAGCTTTCAGACGTCTGTAATTGCCTATCCTATATATACTTTCCCTGATTTTCCATAACTAGAAATATATCTTCTCCCCTGAACTTGTTAAAATTGTATCCATAAACTGATAGGAGCTAATAGAATTTACCATATGTCATGGACATGAAAACCTCTGGGCTTCTTATCAAATATAAATTTCTTAAGAATAAGATCAAAGTCTGATGTGTCTTTCACCAATAGTAGTTACCATTGTGCATTATGGATTATATCACGTGGACGAATAAATGTCTCTAGTGAAGTTCTGCATATACTCAAATATTCATACCACCTGATAATGCTTATTAGAGTAGAGAAAAAAATACAAGTACTAATTGAGAAAAACTAAAAAGCATGACTAACATTTGGGAGAAGAGACATTTGTGAAGTCTAAATCATTTATGGATTAATAATAAAATGAAGAGTGTTCTGGTTGCAGCTAATAAAACATGGAATTACATGAAGTCTCTAAAAACTGACCTTTGTCAAATATCCAAAAGCATTTGAGTATATTTTATTACATAATTGAAAGCTACAATTACAAGAGTTGAGTCTTATAAGCATTTTTATATTCCATAATTAAATTAAATGTATCACTAGAGAATTTTCCTCATAAACAAATGCAAATTTTACAACTGGCAGATGACTTCCAGGAAAAAAAATCTATTCCCATCACTTATTTCTATCAGTGTTGCTAATATGAGTTACTAGTCCATTTACCGATATATACATTGAAATGCTACAAAAGGATTCAGGTCAGTAGGTTCTGACTAGTAAGCAGAAAGCTTTAGCTGTATCATTTTTTTCTCATCACCTGTTGCTAAACTCTGATATACAGAAAGGAAACACCTGGTCATTTT